TGCAAAAAGCTCTGCCCTACAACTCCTTCTGCAGTGACAATCAGGATAATACTGATTTTGCTGTTTTGAAGCAAATCCTTCTTTTTCATTATTTAATTCTCCTTCAACATAAATGAGGTTTCAGGTTCCCTGGTTCTTTTTCATATTCAATAAATTATCTTCACAAAAAATGAAAGTCCTTGCTTGCTCTTAAAATCCTCATCTGATCTTTTCTAGTCTCCTTTCATGCCCACTTGTGCTTGCACATACGACATCTTTATTATTAATACGAGCAAGTAGTTGCAGTTTCTTTGCTTCCCCTTTTACTCCACTCACTTTGCTAACTTGACACGTTAATTATCTTCTAAATAAAGAAATACAATCAGGTATTGTCCAAAATTCTGTCATTTCCTGGCCCTTTAACATCTTCTCACAACCACTGGAGGTTGCCACCTACTTGGATGATGTTGGCAAACAATCCATTTGCTCTTCAAAACTGCTTATGAATGAGTCTGCTAGTGCAAGTCACTTACAGCACTGCGCACAATAGTCACATGACTGCTGTTTACTTTTGCTGTCTCACAATATTGGTCTGTAGTGGCTTCTGTTGGTTAGTCTCATCTACTTTGCCTAGGGCAGGAAATTTATACATGAAATTTCTAACTAATGACTTTGGGGATTCAGTTTAATAGCCTACAACTAAAAGTGTAAATTTTCCTTTTTTTTTTTCCTCCTACACAATAACACAACTATTTAAAATTAAAATTTTCAGCTTCTGTATAAATGTCTAATAAAAACCAGGATAGTTTTCCCTGGAATCTGGTTTCTCTGTGTAGATACCCTAGTCCCTGATTCTTATGAAGCAGCTGGACTGGCGTGTGGCTGACAAGCCGCCATGCAAAAGATCTGGAGTACAGATGGTTACATTACATAGTCAGGATGTTTAAAAATATATTAAAGGTATTGACTGCACTTGAATGTGTCTGTTTGAATACATATACAAATGACACAGCAAGTTTCTTGGAGTACAAGTAACCGCCTGGTGTGTTGGCATTTCTGGCCTGCAACCCAGAACAGGAAAGGTTCACTACCGGCCATGGGGTGCTGGGGTGATGCTCTGTGGGTTAGTGAGCAAGATCCTTTCCACAGCCAAGTACCTACAGGCATATTCCTGAGCTTTCAGGGAGTCTCAATCTCTTCTGTACGTACAAACTGTGCAAAAACAGACCTTTTTTTGTCTCCTTAATTTTCTTCTTGTTTTTTCCTTTCTTCCTTCCTTAGTAATGCATTAAAGTGAAGTGTGAACATGAACTCTAACAAGCAAAGAATAAAGACTGGAAGAATCAATGCAGCAATAATAACTAAGGGATAAATGAAAAGCCATACTCTATTCTAACCAGTCAGCTGACATGAATGAAATTGTTTTATTGATAAAATTTTACTTTAAGTTGTAAGGTCCTTAAAATTGCTCTATTATCCAGTTTTGCAGCAATACAAGTTGGCAATACTTGCACCACTACCAGGGAAATAGATCTGTTTGTGAGGGAAGAGCTTTTAAAATGAAGACCCGTGATAGAAAGTACTGTTATAACTGATGCAAATATTGTCCATCTTATTTAAGAAGTCACATGCATTTTCCTCAGTTTCTTAGCAGAGTACTCTCTCACACAAATTGGCTTTTCAATCATTTCCTCACGTCATTCCAAGATTTTTATTGTTATTATTTCTTAACAAAAAGTTTCACATGGAAAGAATCAGAGCGTATCTTACTTGGTGTACTGTAGAACAGTTACCAGGATGAATGATGATGCAAAAGCTTGTCCTGCTTCCAGTCAGTATACATGGGGAATTAAACAATCCGGGCACACATCCAGGCCCTGGGATTTGGATGTCTACTCTGATAAAGTGTAGGGATGGTGGAGAATGGCATGACTTTGGCCCAGCGAACCACCAAGCCCCCTTCCAGACTAACACCAGGGCTGTTTTCAGGAGGCATCCTGCCCCAAAGGCAGTTTGGATGCAGTAGTTCTCATAAGGGAGCTTACCCAAATGGATGGGCCTTTCCTGTGACAGCTGGTCTCGGTGTGAGAGAAGGATCGTGGACACGTCTGACTGGATATCACATTCACAGCCAGTCCCCATTAATTCACTCCCACGCTTTGCTTCCAGCTGACTGTTACTGGTGGTGTCTATTCGCTTTATATAAAACTCACTCATCAGAAAAAATAGTGGGTATTAGCAGAGGAAAAGAACTTTATGGAAGTTCGTGCTTCCTCCTCCACATCACGCATTCCTCCAATCGCGGGGAATTGCTGGAAAAACAACGTTTGTCACTTGAATTAATGCCAAGTTGTCAGAAAAAGCTGTGGTCACAACAGCTTCTTCACCCATGGTGGCATAGAGTATTACTGAGTAAACAAACACATTTGCTTGGGTCAGGTCACTGCGATTGGCTTTCCTCAACTGCCTGCATTCACTGTTGCTGAAGCCGCTATTCTAATAAGAGACCTGACTAAAAAGAATGCTCCAATTACAAGGAGTACATGCAGGTAAAAACCTACATCTTTTTAAATCAAGTGCAGTTAATTGCTATGTTTCAAGTCAGTGACAATTTAATGCAGTGGAAGAAGATTCAAATGTTGAACAGTCTGTTTACTAGTTCCTAAAATGCCTTAAAAAGGGCTTTCCCAACTATGATTTTTAAACAAAACAGCATTCTGTTTGCTTAAACAGAATTTTCCTCATTCCAGCAGAAAAAACAAACTTTCCCTCTCCTTGAGCACGAAGAAAAATAACAATTCCACTAACTGCCAGATCTGGCATCAATCAGACTCCATTCAGGAGAAGGGCATTTCAGAACCCACTTGTGCTCGTGAATTACGAGATTTCTTCTGGTGGCTTAAAAATGCTGTACAGATTTTGACACAAGCAGTGTCAATATATACAGATGGTCTAGGAAGAAACCGTGGTCTATCTATCTAAATAGGGGGAGATCAGCAGGCAGGAACAAATGAAAAAATAAACAAACAAAACACGATCAACATATTTCTCCTTTAACTCACAGTCTCTAACCAAATGCCTGAAATTCCTGTGGTGGACAGGTAGCTATGAACACTTGGGGAGCTAATGACAACCGCAGCGCTGCTGTTTGGCCTCGGCACCCCAATGTTGCCCACATTAACGTGGCAGAATCACTGCTCTCGTACTGCCAAGGTCAGTGAGCAGAACGGCTGCTTCTCGAAAAGGAAGCAAATCCAGACCCTGCTAGAGCTCCTGCCCTTTGCACGCTGGAAGGCTTAATGTTTAAATAGCAAAAACTGGAAGGAAGAATTGACAATTTAATCTTATCGCTCAATCTTACAGCAAAAAAAGCTTTAAAAGAAAAATCACTGTTCAAAACAACTGTTCACTTCTTCTCTACTTCTTCAGAGTATTTATTGTGGGGGAGAAGTTATATCTATCAGTTATTTTTTCCTTTTGTCTCCAGCTGTGGATGTTTCTTACACAGTGGTTTTTTTTTTAAAGAAAAGAGAACACTGAAAGGAGGGCCATGTCTATAAAGTTCAATTCCATATAAGAAGGAAGCATTAAATATAAATTTTTACAAATTTCCATTTTGCCAAACAAGCCATTTTTTAACGATCACAGCAAAAAGCATAAGCTTCTTCAAATACCAGATAATTCAAGTGTTTTAATGCCATTCCTCTCCAAATCTCATATTGAGAGTAGAAAAAGATGGCCTATATTGCGTATTAACTTCTTTACAGACAACTGTCTTCCAGTCAAAACTGCTCTCCAGGATAATGCCAAATGAAATCAGAAACATAAGGAGCCTTAAGGTAGATTAGTATAAAATCAAATTAGTCTTATAAGATAATTTAACCTATTTGCTAGCTGATTCAAAGATGTGATTCAAATTTCACTTTTACAGAACACAGGGTAATAGTATAATGCATATTTACTGAATACACAGGTATAGTGTAATGGAATTTAGCAACATTTCATTCAAATAGTTGAAAACATGGAAGAATACAACCGTGCAAAAAGAAGGCAGTACTTCCACCCAGCTTCATTCCCTTCCCTCCCAATTTTTCACATTATCATAATTAAGGAACAGACCACTTGGCACCTTGTATTTGTGCTTTTTAATTTACTCTCAGCAAAAAAAGTCAAGTACTACGAAGAAATCTAGGACAAAAGGGCTCTGCCTTATTATTCCCAGATCATATTTAAGAAATTTAAGAGAACACATAGACATGTGATCCTTCCTCTCCTAAAACTTGCAATGAAGGCAGCACAATGACAACTCAACTATCTCAACAGCACCATCTCCACTAATGACTATTTTTTTTCCCCCCAAGATTCACTAGGACACAAAAAATCAGCATTCTCTCTCTCTTTTAACTTTTTTGGCTTCTACAGGAAAATAATAGTCTGAAAGTTGTCTGTCAATTAACAGTGAAAAATTTAATCATTATCTCTTTTTATTATCGCAACAGAGCATGCTGACAAAAATCAGTCAAACACTAGATTAACTTAGGTATTTGAAACTAATGGAGGACGACTAATTCAGTTAGGCTACAGAAAATAAACTACAGACCATTTATATACCTTCTATAAATATCAGAAATGCTTGCTTAACTCTCATTTGTGTCAATTCAGGAATGCGGCTTGGCAGAATAACTCATTTTTGAAAGACAGAAAAAAATCTAAGCGCCTATTCCAGCAACTTTTCATTTGTGTATGTTTTTAACATTATGTTTCAAGATTACTTTTCAAATAAACATGCTGAAGGACATCAGACAGAATCATCCTATGTCACACCTTAAAATTGCATCAATTTCCAAAGGAACTCTTAAAGCTTAGTAGCAGAATCAGTTCTCATTTTCCAAATAACTTCAGTCTTGTTAAGATGAGTAGCTGCATACTTTAAAAAAGCCCATTGTTTTGTGTCAAGTGACATTGGTGTCTAATCTGTAACACATCAGACATCTGTCGGGTGTCTAAACTGAAGCACTTACCTGCCACTGTTTCATGAGTTCTCGCACTGCCTTGGCCTCCTCCAGCACCTTCTCCTTGTGCGTCGCGTCCTGCAGGACATTTGCAGTGGTTTCAGCTTCCGTGAGCCAGGCAAGGAACTTCTCCAGATCCAGGTAGAACTGCTGCAGCATCCGCAGAGCTGCTTCCAGGGCACCTTCCCGCTCACCGACCCTGGGCAAGCACAAACAGGCAAATGCAGCACTCGCAGGAGGAAAAGAAATCCTAATCACTAAATATATATATAAAACTATAGAACAAAGACACTCCATAAATTTTTCATGTACCAATCAAGGTAAGGGTTTGCAAATATATCTGCTGTAATGAAAGAACATGAATGCTTTGCAGGTAAAGTTCCTTTTTATCTTCTCTCGTTAAACGAAATCATTGGAGCTTATCTGCTGAAAAGAAAATCAAGGAAATCATTACTTTTTTTCTTTTTCTTTGAAGGTATCATACCTGAAACATGCACAATTGAAACAATTAAAACTAGTAGTTCCCAACTGTTTTAATCATTTTTTAACATTACTACATTAACATAACACTTACATTTAATTAACATTATTGTGTGAAAGCTTGTTTAATTTTCAGAAAACACAAAATAGTTCCTGGCCGCTGAACAGCATGACTTATTTAATTATCAGTTTTTGTAATTTTTCAGAAACCTTTGGAGACTGCATTCAGCCCCTTATGACCTAATAATATGACTGAATATTTGCTTTTTCTTTTGGATTAAGGTAATATAAACTATAAGAAAAAGCTGTATCAATTATTTGATAAAAGCCCTTTTATTAATACAAATCTCTTATTCTTTCTGAAAGTCCAAATAACAGGTGGGGAAAGAAGAACACTGAGGAGCCAGCGACTCTGATGCTGAAAAATCTCTTAGTGTTTATGTGCAATGTTCTACATGTCTACACTATTTTTTCACATTAAACTTGAGCTAAATAGCCTGCAACCTGCACAGCTAAGAATGACACAGCGTTAACTAATATGAGCTTGTCAAGGCTACTTAGCTATGTATTACATAAATATTTGTCTAACATACACATGATGACTTGAATATTTTTAAGCTCAAAAAATACACAGTAAAATTACCTGATAATTTACATTACTTCAAGTGGAATGAATACAACTGGATGCACAGCTATTACTAGTCTACAAACCTGCAGTTATCTGAGTACTTCTGTATAATGTCTAATTGTGTGGAAATTATCAGAAATAATTTCCCAAATTGTATTTTATTATAACTTTATTGGATAAGGTCACAAAACTCAGAAGTGCTAAACTCTACGTCAAATCAACACTCCTCAAGAAGGCTTCACCCTAAAACCTAGTACATTAGTTGAACTAAGTAAAAACAAAAATCTGACACAAGGTTGGCCACGTGTCACTAACGATCTGCTTTTCAACAAGCACACCCATCATTTGTGGCAGAGGACAGTTAAGAACAGAAGGCTTTTTTAGGAAGACATTAGGACAAGAGGCAACGGGCACAAACTGAAGCACATGAGGCACAAACAGAACATGAGGAACATGAGGAACATGAGGCAAAGCCTCTTTCCTGTGAGGGTGCCAGAGCCCTGGCACAGGCTGCCCAGGGAGGCTGTGGAGTCTCCTTCTCTGGAGATCTTCCCAACCCGCCTGGATGCCGCCCTGTGCCCCGTGCTCTGGGTGTCCCTGCTGGAGCAGGGGGTTGGACTGGATGAGCTCTAGAGGTCCCTTCCAACCTCAACCATCCTGTGATCCTGTGTGACTGTCCATCAGCATATTGGAAAAGACAGCCGCTCCCTTTCACTGAAAATAAACTACTAAGAGTCAAATCTCACAATATCTCTGTATCTATAGTATTTCTTACCCTTTTACAACTTACTTTTAATTCCCAATCTTTTCTTAATCTTGTATCATTTTTCATAAGCTAAGAAAGCTGTTGAGTGCCTGGAAACTCCAAAGTCATCCACTGATTCCTTAAAACTTAAGAAGGGCCTGGATTCTCATCTCAGATGAGATCAGGTGCAGCCACCTACAAGCATTTTTCACATCCAAAGCCTTCTTCCAGGTTAGGACCGAGTGCGACTCTTAGCATCACTCACCAGGACCCTCTTAGCAGGAGGGTGAGGCCAGGCTTAGGAGCAGAAAACAGTCTCCTTCGCACTGTACTCTACAGGGAGCCTTATAGTTTATGGCTAAGGCACTATCCGAATTTAAACAACTGCAATAAAAAAAAATCTACTTTTCTTTTATCAAGCTAAAAAAAAATCCCTTCAGAGATATAGAAGATACCTACCTAAGTATACTGACAATATAAGTAAAATCAGTATGGACTTGGAGTAAAGAGTAAGGAACAGAAAATCTGCCTGATAATTACAGTATTGGCCTATATATTTCTTATTTTATCTCCAAAATATCACATTTATTTGAAATGGAATGGAATGTACGTAAACCAAGAAGAGTTTATGCAGTTCTCAGAGCACTATTCTCTTCTGAGATATTGTTTACAGGGCAATCCACCTTCAGTTTTCTGTGGGCCACATGATGACTAACATCAGTGCATGAAAGTCTTTGTAGGATCAGGCCTAACACTTCCCTCATGTTCCCTCATTCCCTTTCTTCAAAAGCCCCAAGGCACATTTTTAACTCCAATCAACCTGAATGGCTGCAAATACACAGCACTGCTCTAATAACAGTGTTCTGCAAATACACTGGGAAATGTAAAAGCTGCGAATGATGGGTCAGGGCTTTATGGGTGTATATTACTTTTTGCAAGGTATCTTGAAAAAGAGTGTATGCGTCCACTTGAATAAATATCAAGGATATTTTTAATCTAAAAAGAGAAAGAATACAAGTCCATATATGAAAAATACATTTGAGGGCAGAGCTAGTAGATGCATTAGTTCAAAATCAAAATTTATCTTTCAGAGAAACTTTCCAACTGAAATAAAAATATATGCCATTTTATGGATCTGAACAAAAAAAGAAAAAAATAAAGTTATAAAGAATCTTTTAACAGTTCTATTCCACAATAAAAAGAAATACTAAAGTGCCTAATTCTCTCACCTTATGGAAATGAGCTGCTAATCCACAAGCATCCTGGCACTGCCTCCAGAAAAGGCCCTGGTACTTTGCAGTTTAAATGCTTCCATGTCTAACATGAACTAAACTTTCAGCTACATCAACAAGTCTGCAGTGCATCAATAAGCCTCCCTCTACTTGGTTCTGTATTTAGCTAAAAAGTTATGAGGTGAGAAAACAGAAAAGAAGGTCTACAAATGAGGAATAAAGATCTCTCAGTATAATATCCAGCATGTGATAAAACAAATTACAGAAAATCACTGGCTAGCTGAAAATATATATATTGAATATGAAATTATTGCACAAAACTATTTCTTTTTAGCCTTTATCATCCCGATAGGTTTAATTTCATAGTGAATACAAGTTGTGAGACTAGCATGCAAAATATTGCTGAAATATTACAAGTAATCATAACAGAAATGCGTGCTGGAGAGCACCTCCACGGAGAGGGACCTGGGAGTCCTGGTTGACACCAAGTTAACCATGAGTGAGCAGTGTGCCCTCGTGGCCAAGAAGGCCAATGGGATCCTGGCTGCATCAGGAGGAGTGTTGCCAGCAGGTGGAGGGAGGGGATCCTGCCCCTCTCCTCAGCTCTGGTGAGGCCGCACCTGGAGTATTGGGGGCAGTTCTGGGCTCCCCAGTATAGGAGGGACGTGGAGCTTCTGGAGAGGGTCCAGAGAAGGGGAACCAGGATGATTAAGGGAATGGAACATCTCTTGTATGAGGAGAAACTGAGTGAGTTGGGCCTGTTTAGCTTGGAGAAGAGAAGGCTGAGAGGGGATCTAATTAATATGTATAAGTTCCTGAAGGGAGGAAGAGGCCAAGCTCTTCTCAGTGGTGGTCAGTGACAGGATGAGGGGTAATGGCTGCAAGCTGCAACACAGGAAGTTCCATCTCCAGGTGAGGAGGAACTTCTTTCCTGTGAGGGTGCCAGAGCCCTGGCACAGGCTGCCCAGGGAGGCTGTGGAGTCTCCTTCTCTGAAGATCTTCCAAACCCGCCTGGATGCCGCCCTGTGCCCCGTGCTCTGGGTGTCCCTGCTGGAGCAGGGGGTTGGACTAGATGATCTCTAGAGGTCCCTTCCAACCTTGAACATCCTGCGATTCTGTGAAACAATTTTTAATGGAACAATCCTTTTTTTCTCTGACTATGATGTAAACATACACAGTGTGACTGCCAAAAGTTTCTTGTTGACAGGAGATGTACTGAAGGCAGGATCCATCTCACACTTAGACCCCCACTTCATTCCACTGCCAAGCATGTTTGACAAGCATTTCTACAGTGTGATTCCTACTCCCTCATCTGTAATCTTATGAATTAGCCTCAGAGTCATTTTTTTCCTCTTGACTAGTACAGGACCAGCTTACAAAGCCTAGATTTTACAGAATTAAATAAAAGTAGAGCAGTCCTCAAAGTCTGGGGACTGATTTCTGGAAACCAATGGCACCAGTAGTACTAGACAGAGCAGCTACAATTGGCATAAGGCCCTTGATACAGAAGAGAAGCCATGATGTGTCTCAGGAATGTGTTCACGTGGAGCAAAAACGAAGGCAAGGCAGGGGAAGTGAGTCTCATACACACAGCATAAATGTGTTTACACGTAGAACTGCCCGGTAAAGGTTTAAAAAATTTCATGAGCAAAGAAAATGCTGCAGTACACTGCTATGATTCCGACAACTTCTAAAGCTTTCTTAAATATAGCTGTTGGGGCAGATAAATGTGTGAAATGCAGCTATTTGAAACCTAGGTCATCTTTCAGTCCCAAAGCAAGCTACTGCATTATTTACTAAAAAGACAGAGTCCATACTGCAGTATACACTGAAAACAAATATATACAACAACAAAAAAGAAAATATTTACAACTGCATATCTTGCTGTGCAATCTAACAAGAAGAAAAAGGCTGAGGTATGGGAAGCAATTTTGCAAGACCCCAATGCCACACAATACCAGGAGAAAAGCACTCCACCAGTGAGCACTATGGAGATTTCTTCATCTGTAGCAATTCACTGCGTAACACAGAGTGAATCATCTATATTTTCTGAATATCCACTCGCCTATTTGAAGGTGTAACACTTAGTTCAGGTTGCAAGACAGATTTGGAGG